AATAATGAATTTAATTTATATATTTCAATTAAAAGATTGAAATTTTATCTATAAAATGTATTATTTTATTATAATTATAAAATAAAACCGGTGTATCCACACATCGCTACCTAAACCAATATTATAAAAATAGTGTTGCGATCTCAGCTTTTCTCAGATTTTTTAACTTTATAAGTTGACTCATATTTAATATTCTGTATCTAAATATGTATATATAACTCAAAGGTGACTTACATAGTGATCTATCAACGCACTGCCTAAACCACTGGACGTATCGGGCTGAAATTTGGCAAGCAGGTAGATATTATGACGTAGGCATCCGCTAAGAAAGGATTTTGATTAATTCCACCCCTAGAGGAATAAATTAACGCGAGCAAAGCTGCGTGCAAAAGCTAGTTGTTTACATAAAATCTTATCACACAAACAGATAAAGAGTTTTCGTCTTGTCTCTTTTTGAAAACCTTCTGTATAATAATAATAACTAGAAGACTCGCTACTTAGTCCATCTGAATGGCAAATGATGACGTTGTCATGATGTGATGTGATGATGTTGTCAGTACGTGATGATGTCATGACACATGATGATGTTCACAGACTGTTTTCTATTCCAGATGCATAATAAAAAATACTGTGACTGTTTTATAATTTCCATGAGATCTAGCATTGTAAGGAAGGAATTCATGATCATAATCATCTGCTTCCCTGTCCATTTATTTAGGGTCGGCATTATATGTTTTTCTCTTCCATTCATCCCTGTTCGCAGTCACCTCGTTATTCACTACCTATCTTGCCGTATAGTCTTTCACACATCCATGTATTTTAGTCCTTCCTTTGGCATTACAACCACCCACATTCATATATAACACTTTCTTTAAAAAATATTCTATATTCCTACGCAAACGAAGGAATTCATAGCATGACATTTAAATACCAAATAACGGTCACACTTAACCTACAATACACAAAAGATGTCACCCTTTAACTTTGTGACATTAATAAGCTAGGTAGTAATAGTGCGTGGGAATTGAATCCTGAATTGACGAGCGCAGAAAGATAGCGCAGTGTGCTAAACGTCGAGACTAATAAATAAATAACCCTGGACAATTAACACAGCACCATCTAGTCCCACGGTAAGTAGAGCTTGTGTTATGGGTACTATACAATTAATATAAATACTTCGATTTTTTTGTAAATACATACATAATATACATCGAAAACCACCAGACCGATACAAACAATCTTACTCATGAATACTAATATTTACACTGTGCGAGGAATCGAACCCGCGACCATAGAAAGTAAAGCGGTGTGCTAAACCGCTAGACCATCGAGGCCGTCAATCGTAATGTTTATTTATTTTATTGTTTTATTTATACCCTTTTCTTTTCCTAACATTGGCGAGTAGTCTATTAAAAATTCAAACGTTGAAAATTGTGTAAATTATGCCCACAACATTCAGTACTGTCATTACATCTACATTGGTACAAAGTTTACGGAACTCTGTTGCTTACTTGATGAGTTCACTCATTTGTTACTGCGGTTGGAGATTTCATCGGAGTGAAGAACGAGTCAGGAAGTTTAATTTAAAAGATGAGGTTATTTCATAACGTGATTTAAAAAATGAATAAAATACAGCGAGAGAAATGTTACGAAGATACGAAGAAATTAGTAGTTACAATAGTGGTCACTCGACTTTGATAAAGACTTTGTCTTCGAAAGGGTACAGATTCAATCAACTTTTGCCTTATTCAAGAACTTTTACTTTGTTCTATTACTATTAAATACCCCATTTATCAATGAAAGCTATATAACATCACGCTACAACCAATAAAGGCAGAGCTGCAATGAAAAATATAGAAAAACAAGGAAAATTTGACGCAGTTAAAAAACGGTACGGATAAGCTAGTATAAAATAAATCATAGGTAATAACTAGATGGCGCTGTGTAACATATCTTTGGGTTATAATAATTTTATAAAATGGATAATAATTATTTTATTGGCTATTTTGTTTTTATACACCGAGTATATTAATTTACGTAATATTGTAAAATAAATATTAACACGATAATATTTAATAATGAGCAATGAATATTAATAACGATATTGAGGTTATTAAAGAATTTGTAATTGGTTTTATTTTTCCTTATATACATAAAAATTTCTATCTTTAACAAATAACGATATAAAAATAAGATCACAACTAACGGTTCATCGGAAGGGTGCAACAAAACGATTTCGTTATTGGAAACTGGTTTACGTTTCTTGTTCTAAAAATATATTTGAAAAATATTCCTAATACACTTTGTAGGGATTCTGAATACTACACATTATAAAACTAAAATAAATCTTTTGTTCGTATAAAATACTGATAAATATCTAATATTTTTTTATAATAATTTCCCCACTCAACATTAATCTTTATAATATAAAGAGTGTTGTTTCTTTTCTGGGGAAGGACTTACTGATATTTCCATGGTGACAGGACAATAAGCGTGGGGACGAAGCCGCAAAGAATAGATAATCATAAATAAAATTAACAAAGATCTAATCTGATCTAATGATAAAGAACTCTGTGTAAAATAAATTTCTTGTAGGTACCTATAAGAAACATAGGTACATATTGATTTATTTACTATGACCGATGACTAATTGAAAGGATGATATACTTGATTGAAAGGATCATACATAAATAGGACATGAGAAACCTTGTTGTAAATTTTAATTACACAAATACCGATTTTCAGAACTCAAAACGGTTCTTTTAGAAACCGTTATTTTATTATCAAGTCTTAAGATTATCGTATACAAAAACGAACTAATTGCGGTGATAAAATTATTAATGACGTTTTTTAATTCACATAAAATAAATTTAGATCAAATCCAACAGAACGTTCCGTTTTTAAGTTAAGTATTTAAAAAAATATATACGATACATATTCGTCATAATCTATGACATAAAATACTTAATAACGACCGAGACAATGGCAAAGGAAATTATCATATTCTGCTAAGCAGTACGATTCTAATTAACATTCAGTCACGAAAGAGATTTCCGTATCTAAATCTGTTACGATAAAGTAGGTTTTCGGGTGGCATTTCCTTATTTATGCTCTCATAAAAGGGTTTAATATGTAGGAAAAGCTACAAGATAAATTGTATAAGAGCTATAATGTGGTTTTTATATGTTTAATATGTAAAATCGATGCTGTAAGCCCTAGAAATTTATGGTTTACACACAACAATGTCATTTTATGTTGCATGCATAAGTACCTATTACGGTAATAGGTCAATACGGGACGAACGGTAATATAATTACACAGAGGGTACATAGATTTATTCATATAGAATAAATGAACACTAAAGTGACGTAAAAAACTCCCTAAACTAAAGCATCAAGAAACAAAGTGGAAATCTAAACGTAAATTCTGGAATTTCTATACATACATATAAGTTGATCACAGTTATAGCATACAGTTCCTGAACATATTTTGAATTCTCAACTTTACTTCTTTGAGAAAGTTCAGTTTTTTTAGTCACTTGTTTTTGGCTTTGCTGATCGACTTTGAAAAATGTTTTCGTTAATATGAATACATTATCTGCGAGTATATAAGATCTATTCCTGTACGCAGCCCCGGGGGAAATATTCAATGTAGTATAGAAATCATTAAGCGTGTTGATAGATCACTGAAATAGTAGTGAGTTTAAAATATTTTATAAATGAAAATAAAAGTAAAACTTTTAATACTAGTATTATTTTGTTTTATGAATTTCTAATATTTATTATTACTTTTTTTATTTATCTATATTTCCACCAAATTTCCAAATACATTCAGTGATTTGAAGCCTAAAAAGCATAGTTATATACCTGTAGTAATCTATACCACGAGTTCTTTAAACATGAATGAATGAGAGAGTCCGTTAAGAAGTCCGTATATGACCGTCCATGAGATGAATCCGTTAGTTTTGTTCAATAATAGGTTAATTAAACACTAGCCAAGAAGGCTAGAAACTTTAAACTTGGATATGTTTTATTTTATTACGTTATAACAGGATGTATAAGAAATAATTTTCTGAAATTGCCAAGGGATTTAGAGATAACGAGATCGTACGGTCGAAGCCAACCAGATGTTGCGCGATCAAATCTTCTTTTAATTACATCTTACTGTTTATCTATTATGTTTAATACAGAGGAAAAAATCTATAGGATTTATATTTCAATGTTTTTATATCCTTTTGCAATTATTGGTAAATAATTAATTAGAAACTATAATAAAATAGTACTATCACGATTGTTTTCAGATTGAGTAATATTTGGATTAAAATTTTGTTTGTTATGTGTGTTTCCCTCAACGGAGAGCAAGTCACATATATATATTACACAACAAACATATTTTGTAAATACACACATAATATACATAGAAAACACCCAATACAAACAATCGAGGAATCGAACCCGCGATCAATGGAAGTACAGCTGTGTCTAAACCGCTAGACCACTAAGACCGTCAATATGGTGGCTACTTCATTTAGACCAAGATTTAAAATGGACTTTTTCGATCCTATATATCGAACTAATAAGACTATCTTTACGTCTTGCCTTATCTATTTAGGTTGAGTAATGAATATATTATATTTAATAAATAATTTAAACGCGGTAAAATAGTATATTCATTTGGATTAAATACATTATTATATCTTTATTGATGTTTTGATTATATTACGTAAATAATGGTATTTAATACGCTCGTATTAATTATAATTTTAAGTTTTAATCTCCATTAATATTCTATTAAATAATTAAATTTTGAATTTGTATATTTGATATAAAAATTTTACATATTTATTTATCTAAAAATATATTCAATTAAAATAATATTGCTTAAATATTCATTTCAATTATTTGAATATAGAATTCGAAATTTAAATTCGAAAGCGGAGTCCTTACAAATCCTTTCATAAAAACCGATCCTTATTAAAATAAATACAAAATTGAACTTACAAAGGTCCTCATGTTGTCTATGCTTGGGATGGCGGGTAAGTCTCTCCCGCTGTGTTGTCCGGTATGCAATGGTACCTTTGCACAAATGCACAAACATTTTTATAGCGACCGGAAGTGATTGTCGTCGTGAGGAGGTATACGAGAAAGGCAAGATTTGGGATTTCTTCAGAGTGGACACAACAGCGAAAGGCTCAGGAGTTCGAAATTTTATTTTTACCTTTATTTTCAAGTTTTAATTATTTTGCACCCATGTGTATTGTTGTCTGGAAATGTTTTTTTTTATTGAAGATATTGTTCTTCTTTCATATTGGTCAACAAATTAACAATTTGAAATTAAAAATAAACTTTATGATCTAAGCTTTAATGTTGATTTTCGTACATTTTTTTTTTGTTAATGTAATCCATTATTATATATTCGAACTTTATTTTTTTTATTTTTTTCTAACTGTCATGTCGTTTCTAATATAAATTTTGTAATATACTTAAATTATTGTACAGAATATAACGGTACAGTTTCGTACAAACCCTATTTAAACACAGTTTATCACGGTTAGTTAATAATTCCAAAGTAAACAACAACATTTGCTTTTTGCTATTGTAAACAAACTAACTAATTAAACGCTCTTTACAGAGAAACAACGGTGAAAATAGATTAGGGACGATAAATTGTTATGAATATAGTATAACCCAGTATCTATACTAATATTATAATAGCAAAATCTTTCCGTCTGTTTGTTACATATCAGGAATAAATCGCTGACTAAATCTTAAGATTAAGATATGATTGAATTTTAGTATTCAACACTGAATATCGTCAAAATAAAACATAAACGAGTTAATTAAGGAATGAAATAACAATTAAGATTCGTTATAAGTTTTAGCAAGATGCATCCTACTTCTATAATAATAACTATAATCTAACTAATATTAAAAACGCGAAACATTTTGATTTGGATGCCAAGTTGAGGGGATGTTTGTCACTGTTTTATGCAAAAACCACTCAACAAGTATTGAACGAAACTTTACAATAATATAGGTTATACATCAGAATAACAAATAGGCTACAAATTGCTTACGTATGAAACCACGGGAAGAGCTAGTGTTTGATATAATGATTGATGGCTGACATGTGATATTTATATTAATTAGTAGTATATTATTAGTATATTGGGGTTATAACCTTTTTTTATTAAATTATTTTAATAAAAAAAAGGTCTATAAAATCGCTGTTAATATTAATACATTATACATATTAGTGATTGCTATTATTTTTTAGGTACTTTACCGTAACAAATGAAAAACTTCAGAGGTCACATTAAATAATATATATATATTTATAAGATATTTATCTTATCTCAAACTAGCTACTCGGCCCGGCTTCGCACTATTGTACATGTATTATAAATGTATATAAACCTTGCCATAGAATCACCTTATTTATTAAAAAAAACCGCTTCAAAATCCGTTGCGTAGATTTAAAGATTTAAGCATACATAAGGACAAACAGCGACAGCGACTTTATTTTATACTATGTTAAGATAATTATAAAACATCTGTCTTAATTAACATTTGTTGTCATTAACATTGAAGCTCCAATCAAAATTAATTACAATCTCATTAAAGCGTAACTCTAAAAGCCGAAATTGGTTTCTCGACGCCATTGTCCTTTCAAAGTTTCCATTCTTTAACAAACCAATGAATGCAAACAGTATGAAAGTCCCTGATAATTCTCCCGGTCAAATAATTTACATTTTGGATCATTTGAATACATTTTCATACACTAGTGTTGTTCGTACACAGCCGTAGTAAGTTCAATTGAAAAAAATATATAATAATAAATAATAATCTTTATTTTACTGCTAACAAATAATCTGAGAATGTAAATAAAATATATTTAAACTTACAAGTTATTCCTGTACTATAGATCACGTAAATATACAAGTGATTCTTTTTTCGTTTGAATTATTTTAATATTTTTTCTCAAGCAGTGATTTATGAATATTATATGTAATATATATATAAAAAAGCAAAGTTTTTTTTCCTTTATAATATTTTGTATTTGATATTCAGTACTTTATACACTTCACATCTATTAAACTATTATTTTTAAACAAACATCGATATATTTTTTGTCGAAAATATTTATGATACATTTTGTATTTACATAGTACGTCGTATAACTATTACTTTCTTAAATTTTGAAGAAATTAAAAAATTTTAACATAATATAACTTATACATACATTAGATTTAACTATTTATTTTATGGACAAAACTAAAACCGATTTTTGTTACAAAAGATAAAATAAAAAAATAAGTTTTGGTCTTGTGTTTCTTATTATTTCTCTTATCAACAGTATTCCAAAAATAGAATTGCAGAAAAAACCTTCTATCTATATATACCTCACTGACTGTACAACACTACACACGATGTTTCTTGCCCCTTTTCAAGTTGTCCGCTTCCTTGATTTATGAGTCCAGATAGCAATATCTCAGGACTTGTACCACTGTAATCTTGTCATGCAGATGAATTTTATATACGTTGCTTATAATACATGAAAAACTCAGTGATAATTAGTTTATTTACTGTTCTCACTTATTAAAATATACTGTATTGGTTATACTGTATTCTTTCCTTGAAATACAAAGTAATATAGTGTAATGTAATGTAATGCAGTGTAATGTAGTGTAATGAAGTGTAATGCAATTTTGTGATAATAAATAAATAAACTTTAAGTACTTATGTACCAACTGTGGAAGTAAAGATACACATGTCATTTACATTATACAGGGATTGTTGTAATGTAGATTGTTAGACTGTTGACCCCAGATATATCATATCAGGTTGACCTCCACGCGGTTCTCCCTGGAAACCTTCGTGATACTTTCCAAGTGATAAAATAATATGATGCCGTTTAAAATAAACAATTATTATTATTATATACACTTTGAAAAAAACTGAGAACAAAAAAAATTAAAAAATATGATTACACGATTAGGGACATTGTGAATAGTGGTGGTTTTAATACTCTATACTGAACTCAATAATTTATTATTAAATAATTATTCAATTTTAAAAGATAACAGAAATACGAATGTAAATGTATAATATACATATTTGCAAAATTTGAAATGTTATAATAAACAAAATCGCTTCCGCAGCACAACACTTGTGTAAAAGGCGGTTGTAACAACTCCATATCGATTCGTGTCTGGGCTGTACCTTCTTTGATACAGAATGAGTTCGCTCTCAGCTTCTTTTTTCGGTACCCTGAAACTTTTATTCAATTTGTTCACTTGAATATATAAATTTATTAAAAGACGTATCCAATAAAATATATTTATTACATTTTCTATTGTCTATTTATAATTTCAATAATAATAATGTTTAATTCGGATTATTATCCACAGTGTTAATTACAATTTCGTAAATTTAATATTAGTAAAACATATATACAAGACAACAAATGGATACAATACTTATAATACAAAATATACAAGTTATTTGAAGCAATTATTACAATATTAATATTTTTATTATTATTACGCAGAGTAAAATAATATTGAGACTGACTTTTTTTTATTACATAATGTATAATGTATATATTTAAGGTTGAGAGCGTCGTGACCAAGTGGTTATTATTCCCGACTTATGCTGAATGCACGTGAGTTCGAATCTGGTTGACACAAAAAAACTTTCTATGTCAATGTAAGTGACAGAAACGCTACATTAAAAAAAACCTAATAATTAGATAATTTTATTATCGCCTGCACAGCAAATACTGGTAGTATTTGCTAGCGGGGCACCAGTGAAGGATGATGTAATGAGCATGAAGTCAAATCACTATGTCCATCGTGGCGAATTTATCAGAAATTAATTACGATGGCATCGACAGGGGACCATGTGGGGGTCGATCTATAATGGTACATTGCTAGCAATGGTAATATTAATCCACATTACTAACAATCCAATTCCCGCAATCATTATGTTTTTTATCTTATGGATGATAATGCACTAGTGCTCCCACTTGCGATATTTTTTATTATGGATGACAATGGAATAGTGCTCCCGCCTGCGCTAACGGTTTACGGTGGCGGGGCACCAGTGGAGGATGATAAGAAGAGTATGAAGTCAGATCAGTCAGCCGTGGCAAGTTCACCAGGGATTTATCACGATCTGCAGGAGAACCGCGTGGGGATCAATTTGACATGGTACATTGCTAGCAATGGGGTTATCAGTCCACATAACTAATAATCCCCTTCCCCCTATCATTATGTATTAATTAATTGATATTCTGTTCGTTATAAATATTATTCAAATATATTAGGATGGCATGTAAACCTGTATTTTGTCTGTTGGTCAAGGCCATGTCAAATTTTTGGAGCATCGTTATTTGTTTATGAATATTAATGAACGTCTTTATATCTATACCAATATTATAAAGTGGTAAAGTTTGTTAGTTACATACAGTATTATTTGTTGCTTATATCTAGGCATAGGATAGTATTTTTATTTATTTACGTTTTTTTCAATGACGTAAATTTAAAACATAGAACAGTATTTTATCTGATATGTAATTATAATATTTTTTTCGGACTACTGTAATGTTGGCCGCATATATAATAAATGTTACGTTTGTTACTCTTTCACACAAACGATAGGCGGCAGTGCAGATGGCACATTTGAATAACACGGAAGGACTATAATTATAAAAAATATTATGTTTATTTGATGCATAGTTAGTTTAGTTGTCGCGCGCGACATTTGAATTATATAATAAATACATCCATACATCCATACATCCATACATCCATACATCCATAATTCCATACATCCATACATTCTTACTTATATTACAAATGTGAAATTTTTACAATAAATGTTACATTTGTTACTCTTTCACACTAGTTTATTATATTGCACTTATAACCTATATATTTATACGAACCTGTATTAATTTTAGAATTTATATGATTATTTAATTGAACGGACTGCTTCGAATTGAAAAAATATTTTAATGTTGAATATTCCATTTATCGAAGATGGCAATAAGATA